GTGTGTGTGTGTGTGTGTGTGTGTGTGTGTGTGAGAGGGAGAGAGACAAGGAGCAGCTGAGCGAATCAATTTCCTGCAAGCAGCTCTACAAGATTTACTAATTTAAAATAGTAAAAAAAAAAATTGAAATCAATATGTGGCATCAGCCTTGACACTGTGTCGGGGCCTCCACAGATAAATCAATGTTTGGGAAACAATGGGAAGTCTGAAAATATTTTCGGTTCATTATGAAACTGTAGCGAATTAAAGGGCCCTTCGCTTTGGCCCACTTGTGTTCATTTTGCTAAAAAAGTACTTGGCCACCTGCATCACAGACCATTGCACGAGAAGGATGTTAATGTTGGGTCTGAACAGGGCCTCAGTGGCGTCTAGCTCCACACACGTGAAAACACAAAACCGGACACGTTGGTGACACGGCCGCGGTGCTGACATATTTCACCAACTGTAAATGCACCACACAGACAGATGAGACAACTGGAATTAATTCAAACATCTTCATCCTCAAGCTCAGAGGCTGCCTGTCTGAAAAAGAAGCTAATGTTGGTAACAGGAGAGTAAACCTGAATAGCACACACCCCTGGCAGTCTTACCCTGGTCTTTGCTCTCTCTGCTTTTATCTTTTCCTCTCCTCCTCTTCTGTCACTCACCCTTCATTTCTCTCACCCTCTAGTCCAGTCTGTCTGCTGTTCACTCTCCTCCCTTTACTCTCTCACCCCCGGCCTCTTCTGCTCTAGAGGTCGTTTTGCTCCATTTAAAATCTCTGGTTATATATTTGTCAGCTCAAAGATCGTAATTCATCATTTTGGGAAATCTGCTTGGATGCTTTCTTGTGGAGATTAGTTCAGAAGATTGATGCTGCTCTCTTATCTGTATGATAAACATGAAGCCACCCTAGCAACCAATTAGTTTTGCTCAGCACAACAACTACATTTTATATAAACAACAAAGAAAATGAAAAATATCAACATAAATCTTTTACGCATTGTTTGTTCTGGAAAATAAATCTTTCATATCAGTAAACATAAATTCTGATGTGTCTGCGAAAGGCCCATATCCGATATTATCAGCTAACCCACATATCGGTCTAGCTCTTGTCCAAAGGTAACATAAGCCTACTAGCACCTCTCACTAAGTTAAATGTTTATTTTATCTGTGCATGTTCCCCTTGCAGCTCCTCCTGGTATAAGCTTTCATCTTTAAATACGACAAAGTTAATCAGTAAATGTTGTTCCCTACAGGCCGCGAGAGACTATCAGGGATCTTGGGTGTTAGTGCCAACCAGGCCAGTCAGTTCCAGGACAGTTTCCTCCAGACCTACAGTGAAGTCCAGGCCTTCATCCACAGGACCATCCAGCTGTGCCACAAACAAGGTCCCTCTGCATTCTTCTTCCTCTCAAATATTACCTCAAGGTTAAAATGAGTCAGATACTAATCAATGATTGTGAAATAGAAGTTAGGGTCAAAGTTAAATCAAGGGTTAATTTTAAGAAATACAAATAAGTGAATTCAGCAAAATGTGCAAACAAATAATAACAACAAAATGTGTGTTTGGGTTACACCTTGCACTTTTAGTTACACTGTGTGCAGTCCACACTCACTATGGATTTGTGCGTGTGTGTGTGTTTGGCTGAGGAAGAAGTGGATGTGCTTACATTAGCAGGAATGAGACAAACTGCTGTGGGTCAATATTGGAGGAGGGGGAACAAGGTGAGTTGGGGGGGGGGGGGGGGGGTGAGTGTTATATGTGAAGGCGGCTGACGGTTGAGACGGGACAATCTATTTATATTCCAACAAAACTGCCAGCGCAGCACACCTGAGACTTGAACACGCGCACACAGAATAGTGTAAAGTCTGCACTTTAACCCTGGTTGCACACGAGCCCAGTGTCAGTCAGAATTCACTGAATCAGATTAAGATCTCTGACTCCGGCCTGCGATCTAATCCCGTCTTTACTTTATCAGACGTGTGCAGTATTGGTGTTCCTGCTAATTAAACACTGATAGTTTGAAGTGTAAACCAATTACAACCTAATCAGATTAGTGCAAATGAGCAAATTGTGTCAGGGTGTTAGTTTCAGCTCATCTCTCTGACCTCAGTCATTTTATTTTGCTGAAAAATAACTTCATCTTGTTGTAAACATCAGGAATTAGGTCAGGTGTTTTTTTTATGCCAGTCGTGAGGGTGGACTCTTTTGTCAAAAACACTGACCCGCCGTCCCGCTCAGACAGGTGCTCCATCACCCACTTCAACCCCATCACCACACCCCGCCCCTCTCCCTACTCTTTACTTCCCTGTTTCCCCGGCGTCGGCTTCTTCATCTACGCAGTGCACTGGACTCATTCTTCTCAAATGCTGCACACGGATCACAGTGGAAAGCCTCCTCGTTCTCAGGGGCAGAGTGATGATGCACCCAACAGTCGGCTTTAATTCAGCTCATCACCATGGTGATGCTCCCATCGGAGACAGTGCTGGGATTTATCGGCCCTGCTCGTCCCACACGCTCTGTCTCGCTGTCCCTCAGTCTGTCTGGCTTACTCTCTCTGTTTTTCTCTTTGCATTTTCTTGTCTCTCCCTCACACTCTCCTCACGTCTCTGTTTTCAAATCGCTCATTCCACAGCAGGACTACAGCAGATCGATTAAGATAGTCTGTTCTGGCTGGGAGGAGGCGAACAACATCACACCAGATTCACCGGCTGGAGCCGGTGGATTGAGAGATTAATGCTGTTGCTCCTTGTTCTCTGAGTTAATAGTTGATTGGTATCTGACGCAGCAGGATTTTGCTCAGTTTCTGTGGATGCTGGCAGGCTGAGCAGAGATGAGGTGCAGGCTCAGCTGCTGTCATATTTGTTGGAAGCGTATGGGACAGGGCAAAGTGAAGGTGAGGTGAATGTCATGGTATCACAGTATGGGTGTGAAGGCAGAGAGAGAAGTAAAAGGCAGAAGATTTCATGGTGAAAGAAGCATAAAATGAAACCCAGGAGGAAGGATACAGAGATGAGAACCAGAGCAGGAATATTTAATGGTCTCTTTCTTCACATTTGCCAAGATTGTGCTTCTCTGAACAGTGTTTGAAACTCACTGTCTTTGATATTAAAATGAGGTAAAGCCACCACTCTGGGTAAGCCCGTCCTGTTGTTCTTCATATCATGCACATTTCATTAAAGCTCTTGGGACGAATGCCATACCTTCACTCGTAAGGACGGTTTAAAAAAAATATGACGAAAAAAACAGGGGGAATCACAGAGATAAAAAATGAGTCGACTCTTCTGAAGGCCTCGACAGACAAAAGGAAGCTTTTATCTGCACAGATATGTAAACACCCCGCTGTGCTAACACTCACACATGAACACGTCCAGGCTCTGAGGCACAGTCACATTTTCATGCACGTATCTATTGAGATATTTCATAACTGCAGAGAATAAAGTTGGTTAAGACTTAAAAATAGATTTCAATTATAGTTGTAGTTTCAGCCTCATAGGTTTTAAGCCTTTAGTAGATTATGGCACAAAAGGATGTGGCACTAAGCTATATGGATAAGGCCAAGAATGAAAAAAGGAAAATTGCAGCTACTGCAAAATTTTCTCAATGGCCTCTTAGATTTACTACATATATTTTAATCTTTTCTTACATCTCAAAAAAATCAAGTAGAAAAGAAGGTAATAATACTAATTAAAGTGCTTTTCCACATAATATATTACAAAACGGATCATTACTACAAAGGGCTGAAAGCCTGTGATAAATTCAAATATTAGGTTTTTCTTGATCATATCATTCAATCATCTCTATGAATAGGCAACACGCCTGTTTAATAATATATTTACTGAGATAATGCTTAAATAGTGAAATGCATTATCGGGACTGCGGGCGCGGTTTAATCAAATTTGATTAACAGATACATGACATGCTTAGGAAGAAAATGAAGTCATCCCTAGGTATTACTCATGTTGTGTCATCTGCCCTCAAAAGTCCATTTGAAATAATTGGTTTAAATAGTGAAACAATGATTTTATCACAGTAAAATATCACTGAAAGTTAATAAATGATAATTCAGTGATAATAAATTGTTGCCCAACAACTATACTGCCACTCTCCTGATCAACTTAAAAAAGCCGAGTCTTTGACACCACCCTGAGTCGAAAAAAACAGTTTTACGGAGAATGAAAAACACACACATTCCAGTATGATTCACAGTCATACCTGTCTATAAATGGAGCATTTGTGTGATGTGTTTTCACTGACCTAAAGTACACTACACGTCCCTGTCACTGGGGCCCGGAACAAAGGTCACATTCTTCTTGAAAAGGTCACACTCATGTGTCAACGGTGGATTCACAGTGAGTTGGTTTTTGTGTTTGTTTCTAGTGGTGTGCGTTCATTTCCTTTGCATTTATGTCTGTGTGTGTAGGTGTGTAGGTGTGTGTGTTCTAGGAAGAGGGTCATTCAGGTTTCATGCCATGGTTGGCTTTCCTCATAGTACGGGATACTACAGGGATTTAGCTGTAAAGCCTGCTCCATTGTTGTTAGCTGGTGGAATGTACTGGGCCCACTGTGTGTGTGTGTGTGTGTGTGTGTGTGTGTGTGTGTGTCTCTAACTGTGTGTTGCATACCTGTGTATGATGTGTTTGTGTACTTTGTACATCACATTATTGTGTTCCAGTGTGTTTGAAGGCCTGCATTCTTTGCTTTTCTACTTGTTACGTGGATGCAGTGGTTTGTGTGTGTGTTTCTGTTGCGTGCCTGTGTGTCATTGTAAGCTAGCTGTTACCATAATCACCTATAACGCTGTTTCAACAAATGACCTTTCATGTAACTGTCCTTTGTAGCTTCATGGATGACTCACTGGACTGAAACAATGGAGACTGGCTCAGAAAAACTGTTTCCATTCAGAGTTGTTGGTCAAAATGTGAATTTGTCTTTAGAAAGGTTTTCTCCTGATCTCAAACTTGTAGAGGCCGATTAATATGGATTTTTGGGGCTGATGCCGATTTTAGGGAGAATAAAATTTCTTCAGACGATCTCTAGTGTGAGTGAATGTTGAAGGAGCAGCAGAGTTGCCATGGAGGGTCCGAGGTCGTGAGAGAGGACCGGCCCTCAGGAAAAATGTTGGTCTAAATTTGAATAAATTCGACTGAAGAAAAGAATGCACATGGCCACAATGAACCTGACTCTTTTTTGCTTTTTCTAGGTTATGTGCTGTCCATCATGGGTCGTCGACGAACCCTCCCTCACATCCACTCTCCAGATTGGGGAATCCGCATGCAGGCTGAAAGGCAGGCTGTCAACTTTACAGTTCAAGGTGGGATAACTGACAGTGACCGAACAACCCCATGGCAACATATTTGAGCTCAATCTCACGTGTACATGTGCACAGGTTCTGCTGCTGATCTCTGTAAGGTGGCCATGATCCGAATCTTCAACCTCGTGTGCACCAGCTCGCTCACCGCCAGGTACAACCGTGAATCATGGCTCTGCTGAACCGAGGATGCTCCTATTACAAGCCATTTCTCCAGTGTTATGCTAAGCTCTGTATCCTTCATTCTCTCCTTTCATACATTTGTAATGAAACCCACACTGACTCCTCACATCGCTCTGAATCTCCCAAATGATGCTGCTGACACACGCTAAACATTCAGCTCGAGTAAACACACTTGATGAGGGAGCCAAATTGCAGAGTAGAGGGGGGAGTTGATGGAGATACTTGGGATCGGCTGGGAGCCACATATATTTACTAGTATTTGTGTTAGAAGTGTCGTCATAGTTGATGTTTTATGTGTTTCTGGATGTGTTTGTAACTGAAGGTTGATAGCGCAGCTCCATGATGAGCTTCTGTACGAAGTGGAGGACTCACAGGTGGAAAACTTTGCAGGTAAATGTACTAGATTCATAATCAGCTTTGGAAATCAGTTATCAAACAAGCTTAACATTTATTTTAGGTTTGTTTTTGCTTATTTTATCTAAAATAGCTACAATTCATATACATTTTATACTAATTTGACCATGATCACTAACATGATTGATAACATTTGTGTGGCTTCCTGCGTGTGTGTGCAGCGTTGGTGAAGAGCACCATGGAGTCCCTGCAGCACATGGACCAGCAGGGCGTCCATCTCAAGGTCAGTGCCTGAAAGTAGAAACATTTTACTTTTAGATAGACTAATAGAGTCAGTCGTCATGCTCAGAGATTGTGCACTACTCAGTCTATGGCTTTGGTAAACCATGGACACAGAGTTGAGGCTAATGGGGACGTACACAGTGTCGGCAGAGGGAGAAGAGCGAGACTTTTAAATGCTCCCGTCTCAGAAATCACCCCGACTGGTTTTTCAACCAATAATTATTAATTGAATTATTGAATATTCTCTGTGTGTGTGTGTGTGTGTGTGTGTGTGTGTGTGTGTGTGTGTGTGTGTGTGTGTGTGTG